GAGAGAGAGAGAGAGAGAGAGAGAGAGAGAGAGAGAGAGAGAGAGAGAGAGAGAGAGAGAGAGAGAGAGAGAGAGATTTGCGACCTTGGGATTTGGCGACATTCGGGTTCAGACTTGACATTGGAACAGAGACATTGTGGGACGGACTTTTTTGGATCAGTATTGATGACATTTTGGGTTGACGACATTCTCCATACCTGCCCCCCCTCTTCATCTCTCCTCCCTCCTCCTCATCTGTGTATGAGTTCCTACCTGGCGCCCTTCGTCTCTGTGTTTGGTACCAGGTCCCTCACACTGCATGATGATGATGATGTTGGTGTTCAGTCTGTGTCCCAACATTGATTGGATCTGATTGTTGGTATTTCAGTCTTCGCCTGTGCTATCATTGCTCCATTTCCGAGAGGGCGGTTCTTGGTTCTGGTCTGCGCCACTTGGCATGCGACAAGGGAGCTCTGCTCTTCAGGGGCTTCACAAGGTGGGTGGTGAAGCTCTGTAGGGGTATGAGCAGACTGCGGGGGATACTTTTTCTGGGGCTGGGGTTAATGCTTCAGCGGGGGCAGATTAGGGTAGGGGGCAGGCAGAGGGAGACTTTGGGAGGGAACTGGATGCCTCTAGGACCAGAGGAAGGAGGATGGAGACTGTTCCAAGTTGGGGCCGATGAGACGTTCTTAATCGACGGAGGCAGCGAAGGAACATGGTGGAAAGGAGGAAAGGGGGAATAATTTCTTAATGCTTGCTTTTTCTACGTTATGGATTATCTTCTTCTTTAGTAATTTCTTGATAGATTAACCGAATCAAGTTATGTCCAGCTTCCTGGTCTTTTCAATTCTTGAGAGCATCTGTCTTTCTTCCTAATTATGGAAATATGATTTCAGAGGTGGTAGAGTCTGGGCTGATATCTGCTGAGTGTTCTTTGTTCTGTGCCCCTGGTTTACGGATTTGCCGAGGGAGGAAGGCAAACCATGGGCGTTGTAGGGGGGGTCACTATAACAACCTAAGGGGGGGGGAATAGTCTACATGGAGAGAGCAGGATTGCTATCGTTGACATTGGCCAAGTTGACATCGGCTCTGAGATTTAATATCCTGATGAAGGGGAGGACAGGAGTTACTCGAGATTTAGGAGGCCAGTTCAGCTGATTTAGCTTTGTCGTCAGATCTGACCACTTGCTTTCCTTAAGTACTTACTAGTATTTTCCTAGGGCGAAATCCCGGGCGCCCGGGTCCCAATGCCATGCCCGGTTTGACGACCGGACGACCGGCCGGTCGGAACGCCCGGTCGGGCCCCCGGGCCTGAAATGCGCCGACCTGTAACATTTTTTTTTTGTTCGATTTCGGGCTCTGGGGGGTCGAAGCTGGCTCGCGGAACCCTGCGCCGGCAAAAAAAAAAAAATTTGGGTACCTACCGGGTGCTGGGAGCAGTTTGAAATCAGGCCATTTTTGGCCGTCGATCTTGAAGATCGACAGCCAGAAATCGCCCGATTTCAAACTGTTTCCCCGCGCGATTTCGTGTGCGGGCAGATCCCGAATTGCCCCCGCGCAATCGAGCGGGCGAAGTGTTCTTCGACTTGCTCGTCGGCCCCGCTGTTCCGTGCCATCATGCCCTGCCGCCGTGCCCTTCCGCAGCCCGCCATTGCCTTCCCGCAGCCCGCAAGGTAAGTCATCCTTGTCTTCTTCTTCTTCTTCTTCTTCTTCTTCTTCTTCTTCTTCTTCTTCTTCTTCTTCTTCTTCTTTTTCTTCTTCTTGGTCATCGTCGCCGTCGTCGTGTGTGTGTGTGTGTGTGTGTGTGTGTGTGTGTGTGTGTGTGTGAGAGAGAGAGAGAGAGAGCCCGCACCTCCTCGCTGCCCGTTCGGGCGAGCTTCCGTGTGGCCACCGGCACCCCCTCTCCCTCCTCCTCCACTTCCTTCTTCATCTTCTTTGTCACACCTACTTCTTCGTCATTCCATTTTCTTCTTCTTCTCATGTCTTCTTCTTCTACTTCTTCTTCGTCTTTCTTTCTTCTTCTTCTTCTTCTTCTTCTTCTTCTTCTTCTTCTTCTTCTTCTTCGTCATTTCTTCTTCTCAGTTCTTCTTCTTCGTCGTCTTTCTTTCTTCTTCTTCTTCTTCGTCTTTCTTTCTTCTTCTTCTT